ATAAACATGTGGTGGAAGCTGTGGATAAATCATTACGAGATATATTACGTTTCCGATATCAAAATAGTGATGAGAAACCATTTGGAGGTCTGACAATTGTTTTTGGAGGGGATTTCAGGCAAACCCTGCCTATAGTATTAAAAGGTACACGAGCTGATTGTGTCAACTCATCTATTAAGAGATCTTATTTGTGGCAGCATTTGAAGGTAATTAAATTGATTCAAAATATGAGGCTATCACGTGGCAATCAATGTCCAGAAGAAATTCTAGCAATTGCTGATTTCCAGAATTGGCTTTTGCAAATTGGTGATGGGGTTGATTCAGATGTTTTTGGTGAGTCTACTATTTCTATTCCACATGAGTTATTAGTACCTCGCCAATCAGATCCTGTTACTGATATTGTGGGTTCAATTTATGGTGATCTTTTGAGGTATTATTCAGATCATAATTATTTGGTCAGACGAGCTATTTTGGCACCACACCATGATATGGTTTCTGCAATCAATACATTTACTTTAGCAAAATTTCCAGGAGATGAGGTTACATACTTTAGCTCAGATTCAATTGAAGTGGATCCTGGAAAGGAGGGTGTGGTGGATGCTGATTATAATACTGAGTTTCTGAATACATTGAAGGTTGGTAACTTTCCTGATTATGAACTGAAACTTAAAGTGGGATGTCCAGTAATTTTGATGCGGAATATGGATCAAACAGTTGGGCTCTGTAATGGTACCAGAATGATTGTTAAGACTTTGGGGAAATGGTTCATTGAGGTGGAGGTCTTGACCGGTACCAATGTAGGTGATCGTGTGTTTCTCCCTAGACTTACATTGTCAACATATTACAAAAGTCTTAATTTTACTCTCCTTAGAAGACAATATCCTATTGCTCTATGTTTTGGCATGACTATTAATAAAAGTCAGGGACAAACACTTGATCATGTTGGCTTATGTCTCCAGAGGCAGGTTTTCAGTCATGGCCAACTCTATGTTGCATTGTCCAGAATTACAACAAGGCAAGGTCTCAAAATCTTAATTGAGAATGATAATGATGAAGGCCCGAACTCGATGCTAAACATAGTATTCCCAGAAATTTTTGATTGAGTTTACAAGTTGCAGTGTGGTTTGTATGATAAGACATGAGATTAATTTGCTATATTTATTCCTTTGTAATATAGTTTTGTTTTTCTTTAGTTTTTATTCCCCTTGAGGTATCCGGCCCAAACCCTTCCTCCTTGACGTAGTCGGCCCAAAGACTACTGGTGAAATGGTTCCATCGAAATCTCTTGGAACCCATATTATATAGTCGAAAGACTGGGCCAGTTTATTATATAGTCGGACCGGGCTGTTGCCCCCTGAAGTATCCGGCCCAAACTCTTCCCCCCTGACGTAGTCGGCCCAAAGACTGCTGGTGAAATGCTTCCATCGAAATCTCTCGGAACCCATATTCAGCTGCCGTGGCAGTCCATGCCGTGTTTATTTCTTTCTCCATATCGCTTTTGGTTTCAAGCCCTGCACTTCAATACTACATATGCAATTGTGAGGGACGCGTGGGAGGAGGGAGTTGCATTGGCAGCGAGTTCCAACTCTAAACTCTAGAGTACAATAATTTAAAAGGAATTACCAAATAGCAAGGAAGGTGACAGTAAACAAAGAGCAAAATTATATGATGTTCAAAATATGGTTACATGAAGGACCACCTCAAAAGGATAATAACCTTTCAAAAAATATTTGCGTTCACATATCCATTACGCGGTTAGATAATTCGAAATTAGAGCGAGGTGGACCATTACTAACATTAATCCGATTATATTAATAATACCCTACGCTACTTAGTCATCTAAAATCGGGAACAACTTAACCAAGAAGAGATCAAGACGATTCTCCACGTTGTTCCAAGGTCCGAATGTGACCAAGACCCTATATGGCGTCTCACCAATCATGTTGAGTAGTGGAATGTACTCCACATCTTCCATCTCATCAGGACCAACAACAGCAGACATGACTCGCCGTAAGTAAGCTGATGGAAATACGACCTCAATATCGGTGATAAAATCTTCAATTGTCAAGTGAAGCAAGTATATGCTGGATGCTGGATGCCAAGATCTCCTCAATTCTGTGACCCAGCCATTGAAAATGTATGACTTGCCCTGGTACAAGCCAAAACATAAGGAGTTCAAAATAATACCAAATTAGATGCAAATTCTTTAGATAAAATATAGATTCCGGATAGATAAAATACATGTTATCTGATTCACCTGATTAGCAACATCCAATTGCATAGGGATAAGATCTATAGTTTCTACATTGTCCCAAATTCTTGCGGCAACTTCATAGTGCAGATTTGAAACGAAGTCTCCCATGGAAAAAAATCTATAATTTAGATTAGTAGCAATATTAGCAACTCTATCAACAAATGTTAGAGCTGTAAATCTAATCAACTAATTATGTAAACCCGAATATACACAAACAATAGCAACCCAATACATGAATGTGTCAATACAAACATACAAAGTTTCCTTGGAGTATCGAACTAAAAAAAAAAAAAAAATCTGGATGATAAGATTGTAGTAGATCTGGAGAAACCTAATTTGAAGGCCAACAAGCGAATGTAATTGATGAGTGGGCTGGAAAAATTGGTTGAAGTTCTTGATGAGAGGAAAGGGGAGATTTTGCCGAGGTAGGGTTTTAGAAATTACCTTTTAGAGATGCTGAGATAGGATTAACGTCGATCAGGCAGAGAGAAGGCCTGGAAAATGAGTGCATGCACTGGAATGGGTTTCCAGTTGCTTTGTTGGCCGGAGAGTGAGCAGAGCAGAAGAAGGCGTCAGGGAGGAAGGGAGTTGAAACGTCTTCTGCTGGGTCTTTACGAGGTAAGACTTTAGAACTTACCTCCTGGAGATGTAGAGATGGTACTAATATCGGTCAGTCAGGGAGGGCTGGAACATGAGTGCATGCAATGGCTTGGTTGGACAGTTGGTCTTCTCGCCGGCAAGTGAATAGTGACGTCGTGACTCGGTGCCGTTGTTGGAGTCCGCGGGAGTGGTGATTCGACGGCAGGGTTGTTCGACGAGGGAGAATGAGCGAGAGTAGTGGGAGGGTTGGGGTTTGCAGATGGAGCGGGAAGCAGGAGAAGCAGAAGATGGTGGGTTGGGGATGTGGATGGTCAGGTTTCTGTGGAGGGACTGGAGGGTAGGTGAGAGCGATGGAGGAGGGAAAGGAAGAAGGGAGTTAAACCGTCTTCGGGTGGGTGGGAGGTTTTTATTGTTTTTTTTTTGTTTTTTGGTTTTTGTATTTGTTTGATCCAACCGTCGCGATGGCTGTCCATTTCGTTTGGGTTTTTTGGGTTTTAACCAAACTCAAACCAATTGGAAAGCTAATTGTTTCTTTTGTTTTGTTTTAAACCAATAAGCCACTAATGGTTTTGGTTTGGTTAAAACCGAAAAACCAATAGAAACCATTAAGAATAAAATTATTCATCCACAAGTTTTTTTTTTTGTTGTTTCTTTTGACACGCATGCCAACCAATAATTTGTGCTGACCATACAGATATGTTTTTGTCAAATGATAATAAATAAATGAAAACCTAACTCTTTTTTTTTTACTCGATGATACGAGTGATTTACTGGCTAAAAAATTCACTACTTCAAAATGGGATTCATTTATTTTATCAATCTGCCAACCCTAGCGATGCATTGTCAATTGTTTCATGTTTATGAGAAAATGCCAGATCCTTGGATTATAAACTTCATTGAATATGCTGACTTTCCATTTCGTGCCTTTCCAGATATCGTATACAGCTTGATGTTGAAAGCAGTTCTGTGCCAGCGACCTTTATCATCTTTGAGTATGAAGCAAAACGCTTCTTTGGTGTCAGTGGTAATGATCTTTTCAATAGGACGGGTCAGAACAATGAGGTACCCCCTCCTGATCTACTCCAAATAGTTGGTGAGACCAAACTATTCCATGTCAAGTTCAAGATAAATCTCTACCGTGATTCACAAGCTGATTTCACCGTCTTAAAAGTCTTGGAACCCACACAACAGGTGAGCTACTCATTAGATTTTCCAGACTTATAACTCTACTCATTAGGGTTCAGGGTTCAGGGTTTAGGGAAGCAAATTGTTTGGAAGCGTATTGATACTCTATGGACGAGTTAGGTTCTTTGATTGGAGGACGTTATGATGTTTGGTTGGGTATTTTCATACTTTACCATTGTTCAATTAGGGCTTTTATTTGATGACATTCTGATATAGAAATGGGCTTCTATTTTGTTGCCATTCCCAATTTGAAGATTAGTCACCTCTGGCCCATATTGAAAGCCCACACAAAATTCAAAGGCTAGAAACATGGAATTCAATTTACTTGCGGTGAAGCCATAGGGAACCCTAGCTCCATTTTTATATTTGCGGTAGACCGTAGATTCCTGTTTGCTTGGTACCGGCGGTGAAATCACATTCGTATTTCCATCTCCAACCAAATTCCAATCCTATTTGCACCATTCTATTAATCAGTTTACCAATCTCGCCCAAATACATATCAAATTTAGCGTTGAGGTGAAGATGATGAGCTCTCAGCTGGAACGAGGTCTGAAATTGGGAAATCCAGGAGTCAGAATTAGCTGCATAGAAGAGACCAAGTTAGAAAGCCCTCTCAAATTTTGTGAGTTATATTTACAAAATGAAGGTCATAGTTGCCTAGAGTTACAGTTATCTACATTCAGCAATAATCTTCCGCGGGAATCGTCCGAGTGTGTGCAACTTTTCTCCATTCCGAAAATGTAGCTCTGCGTGGCCGACGTGGCTTTTTCAAAGTTGAAGTAACTGCTACTGTCTTCAGCAACTATATATATCAGCTTAGACACAGCAGTTGACAATTTCTGTGCTCATTTGTTTTTCTCCCAGGTATCAATTCACGTTCAATTTTTGTAACTGTAACTACTGTTTTGATGCAAACCCGTAGCTCTTCAATAACCTCCTTTTTTGTTGCTGAGTCTCTAGAATGGATTCCCAAAGCATTCGTGACCTTGAGTCGGAGAAGAAGATTTGGTCAGGTCAATGTCGTGTTTCCAGAATGTGGGTTGGGGTGAATGTACATACAAACAAAGTTCTCCATCTTGACCTCATTTTGATGGATTCAAAGGTAATCACTTCTTTCATGGGATATGAAGATTCTGTTCCAAAATGAGTGCTGTTTTTTAAATTTAGTTTTCGTTTCCATTTTGAAGGGCAATGATATCTGGGTACAAATCCCTCCTGTGTTGATAGAAAAGTTTAAGACGATGCTGAAGGAGAACCATGTTTACATTATCAAGAACTTCGATATCAATACAACTGGACTGAAATATCGACCTATTGGGAATCCATATTTGATACAATTTAGTAGGAAGACAATTGTTCATCATGTTCCTGAAGTTCCTGCAATTCCAACCTTCAAATTCAGTTTCCTAAATGCAAGTCAGATGGCGGGCAAATTGGGTCATGTTGAGATTCTTTCAGGTTACTTCTTCATTCTTACATGTATTTTCAGTTAGGAAATAATGTGTATCTGAATTTATTTTATTAAAATGATTTGTTGTAGATGTTGTTGGTCAACTGCGCACACATTCAGATGCAATTACTACTACCAGCCTTACTCGGAAAACTATAAGGAAAGAGCTCACATTGCAATTGATTGAGTGAGTTTTTTTTATATGTATGACATGAAACGCATTTAGAAAACTTTTGTTGAATTTGATTGCTCACTATTTGGTTGGTTTTTCTTTTATTTGCTGAGGGAGCATTATTGCACTTTCGATATTCATGTTTGTTTGCAAGATTCGGTTTTTACCATCTTAGATATTTGTTTCAAATTTATGTAGGGGTGATGTTGTCAAAGTAGTTATTTGGGGAAGAGTTTGATAAGATTATTGATGCTCATGGTGATGATCAGAATATACTGGTTATTTCAGCTGTTAGTGTGGGTGACTTCAAAGGTGCTATTATTATTTCTTTCCTTTCTTATGTTTAATACTGTTATTAGTGGCAAGATCAGTGGCAAGACTAGACTGATATTTGGTTTTTGTAGATGAGTTATCATTTTCATCATCCGGGTCCACAGTTGTGTATCGTAACCTCGATATTCCAGCTGTCAAAGCTTTTGCTACCGGGTATTCATCACCGTATTGTGTCTATGACATTGTGTTGGTATTTAGTTTTGTTTAATTATTGATTTTTTTATTGTTCAAATCAGTACTGTGCAACCAGAGCTGCCTGTCTTTGTGGAACCACCGCCACCTCCTGAATTCCCTGTTATTTCACTTTCTGAACTTTTGAAATTACAAGAGGATCCAGACCAGGAGGTTACTTCTATGTTCTTTCATATTTCTTATACTATTTGCATTTTCATTTCATTAGAGACTTATAGTAAACGTATTTGATATTAGGAAATGGTGTTTGCTGTTGAATGCAAAGTTGTTGGAATTAAATCAGGCTGGTGTTATATGGGGTGTCCTAACTGTGTTTCGAAACCTATACACCGACAAAATGAGTACTATTGTGTTAGATGCAACAAGGGAATATCAGCCAAGGCTGCCAAGTAAACATCTCCTCTTTAGTTGACATTCAATATTCTTCGTCATTGAATTGTAATTATTTCCATTAATTTTATTTGAAATTCGTGTTTTGTTCAGATACCGTGTTCAACTTGAAGTCCAAAGTTATTTGAAGTCAGCAGTATTTGTACTCTTTGAGTATGAAGGGAAGCGATACTTTGGATTGAGTGGTCATGAACTATTCCTGAAAAATGGGCAGAATGGTGACTTGCCACCTGATGAATTGCTTCAACTGGTAGGTCTGACCAAGTGATTCCATGTCAAATTCAAGATCAACCTTTTTGCTGATTCCCAGGCTGATTTTACTATGTTGAGAATACTAGAACCCACCTCAAAGGTCAGTACTATATCCCTGCAAGTATTTTTCCTCTTTAAATAAGAATGAAGTGTTATGATCACTTTTCTATCTCAGTATTGATCTAGATTGTAATCTTTTTTTCCCAGTCAAGAATCCTATTATAATTTCTTTACTGGCCGATGTTACATTTGGATATTATAATCTCAGGGAGAAGGTTATATGATTCACAAAGATGGATCATCTTCTTCTATTGCGAGTGGGCCTGCATGTTCTCAACCCTCCTCTGATCATTCTGGACAGTCTGCTATTGGAAAATCGATTGAAACACCAGTGGATTCTGATGGAACTCCAGACAACAAATTGAAGAGGAAGATGCCCCTGGAATGATTGCAACGCCAACAAAGAATTTGTTGCAGATAGGATATTTTCATTGCATTTATTTTGTGTTCCAGAGTTTGTTATGTGTTTGTTAAGTACTGAATATTGCTGATTTGCACTTGGACTTATGATTGTGAACATATTTTAGATTTGTAGATTTTTCTGAATATTTCAATTGGGTATTATGTAGCCTATACCATGGGCTAACTTTTCTTGGGCTTTTCCATATGAGAATTGGGTTTGGTCCTCTTTACTATTAAAGAGATTTTCCCCTTCATGTTTTTTCCGTTTTTCCTACTCCTCTCTGTTGTTCTCTCTCTCTATGTTTCTGTTATTTGATTTGTGTTAAATTGGTTTGCCAGTTGGCAGTCTCACTATACTATTTCATATAATAAATTGAAGGTATTTGGCACTAAAATGCATTAATAGTAGGACTGTTATATAACTAGATTAAATAATAATGATTTGGAACTAACATGTATTAATAGTAGCAATCAAGTTATATCTATTATGATTAATTTGTTCAAAGTACCATAACTAAATTCAATTGATATATTACATAAAGTACCTCCTCAAAAGGATAATAAACTTACAAAAGATATTAGCGTTCACATATTCATTACGCTTACAGATCATTAGAAATTAAAGAGAGGTGGACCATTACTAATATTAATCTAATCATATTAATAATACCTAATGCTACTTAGTGATCTAAAGCTGGGAACAACTTAACCAAGAAGAGATCAAGATAATTCCCTACGTCATTCCAACGACCGAATGTGACCAAGACCTTATATTTCTTCTCACAAATCATGTTGAGAAGTGTAACATAATCTGCATCTTCAATCACAGAGGGATCGACAACAGAAGACATGATTCTCCTTAAGTAAGCTGATGGGAACATGACCTCAATATCAGTAATGTCATCTTCAATGGTCAAGTGAATCAAAAATATCTTGGATGCCTCACACCAAGATCTCCTCAAGTCTGTTACAACGCCAGATAAAATGTATGACTTGCTCTGATATAATTCAAAACAGAAGGAGTTAAAAATAATACCAAATCAGATACAAATCATTGTGATAAGTGATAGAAAAGGATAGATAAAAAAACATATTATCTTAGTCACCTGATTAGCACCATCCAATTGCATTGGAATAAGATCTATTGTTTTCACAATCTGCCAAATTGCTGCGGCAATTTCATAGTCTAGATTCATAACGAAATTATCTCCCATGGTAAAAAAACCTATAATTTAGATTATTAACAATATTAGCAACTGTATTTGCAAAATTATGAGATCACAAGAATATATTTATTATGAGTTGGTTAGGAAGCAATTAATTATGGTTCCATTCAAGTATTATATCCATCTTCAAATATTTATCAAACTTATTTCATTCTACTTAATATCTATTATTAGAATTAATTTAGATTATTAACAATATTAGCAACACACACTATGTAATTAGATCCAAGAAAAGAAAGAAACATATATACGATCTCAATTATGGATTAATGTTGTTTTATAATAGAATAACTCATAACTAATCATGCCCCTTATTTTAATAAATCCAACCACATTGTATGAGAAACCATGGAAACAAACGCACGTATGAAGTTAGCAGTATTTTCATTGGATCTTAAGTCAAGTTTAGCAATTTTGGAAGTAAGAAAAAGGAGAAAAAAGTACCAAATCAGAGCATGCAACAATCATAAGAAATTTTACCTGTAGAATAAGATCCTATGAGGCTTGATCTGATTTGATTTGTAAAAAGCCAAAAGAAGGTCTCTGCAAATAAAGAAATATCAAACTGAATGAGACCTAAAAAATAGTAAGAACTACTTAGAAATGCATTTGACTTCTCGGTTCTGAACTTGATCATTCCACAAGATGTTAGTAGTATTCGTAGCCTGGTTTAGATCTAATACCTTCACAAAATCTGGATTCGTTTTGGTAATCGGCGACTGGAGATATCAGAGGGTAGAAAAAACTTTGCTGTTGTTGAGAGATTTAAAGGAAAGATGTTGCGAGGTAGAATTTTGGGGACGGTTGACTGGAGGAGGACGCGAAACGTCGTGCATGCAACGAATTTGGTGGTTTTTTGTTTTCTTCAGCGAAGAATGAAGAGAGGTATGGAAGGGAAGAAGGAAGCTGAAACGTTTTCGTCTTTGACGACTGTTGGTGGGTTATTATTTTGTAGTTTAATAAATTTACTTTGTTTAGAAAAGTAAAGGGAAAATATTGGGCCTTTAATTCATTTGATAAAGGAAACATAATTCCTATTGGGCCTCCATTGAATTACAATTTATAGAATATTATGCTTTATGGCTGGATTTATGGATCTCTATGGCCCATTTGGAATGGTTCCAAATTCCATACTGATGCCAGAGATGGTCGTGGTTGCATGCCCATTAAGATTCGAGGTCAGTCTGTTGTTGCTTCGGCCCACTCAAGACCACTGAATCGAGCCCAAGGTCTGGGCTTTGATCCAAACATCCTCATACATTAGCCCGACCTTAGTTTCCCTCCATCAGCTAAAAAAGAGTGTACAATACCAAAAAGAGTTGTCTCTGTTTGTCTTCTTAGTCAGCTGATTTTCACGAAAGGGGAAACCCTAGAATCTTACCCTGCAGCTGCCTCCGTTCTGGTCCCCCATCTCCTGCAGTCGACCCCTACATAATTTATGGCAAGTATTACATATTTATTATATTCTTTCTATTTCTTTTCCTTTGTTTTCCTCATTTTGTCTTCTTTCACAGTTGGAGTAAGAAGCTATTGGTACCCCAAAGCTTTATCACAACTGATCTGTAGTTTTCGGTCACAACAAAAGGGAAAATGTTGCCGGAAGACCCACATGGTATTTTACAATAAGTTGAATAGAGTTTTTGTCCGAATGCTTTTAGATATAATGACTAAGTTTACCTTTTGGTGTTAGATGTAATGGTTGAATCCACAACCTTTGGTGAGCTTCATCTTGGAAAAAGCAATCGTTTCCTCATGGCTAGATTGTTAAACATTTGGTCAGAATATGAGTTAGATGGACCTAGATCTATTTCCTCCATGCATATGCTTTGGTTAGATAAAGAGGTAAAATTATAAACATTGAACATCTACTGGTTTTGGTCTTATAACATAACAGTTACTGTAAACTCATTTGTAATATTTGAACTCCTTTAGGGACAACTTATGGAAGGAACTGTGCCATATGAAGATTCTGCTCATATTTGCAAAGACATTAAGATCGGTTGTCTCTATACCATGATGAATCCAATCGTTATACCAGCTAGATCTGATCGTCGCACTGCAACTTCCAATTTGAGATTGTATTTTACAAAGGAATCTTCATTCAGAACAGGGATTGAATATCGGAGCACAATGCATTTTCCAGATGATTTTTTTTTTCAAAGTCCTGTCAATGCTACTGGTTCTTCAACAAGTCTTCCACCTTGCTTCTCAGGTATTTATTATTTATTCTTAACCATATATTTCAACAGGTTGTATTAGAAATTGATGTGTTAAATATTGTATATTCCAAATATCATACAGATCAAAACAACTAAAATATTTACATATTTCAGATATCACAGGATGTGTAACACATATCACCGAACCAGCTAAAGTCAATTCTGATACATTTATGTTCCAGATTTATCTTGAAGATATGAGGTACCACTTATAATTAGTTACTATAATATCTTACTGAATCAAGATTAGTTTATAATTATACTTATACTCTGTTTGCTAAATTTTTAGTGGAAACGAAGCACTTGTGAGCTATATTGGCACAAGAATTAAAGATTTCATTGAAAGTGCTACTGCCAAAGAATTTCAATATCCTTTGGTTGTGACAGCAACAGCACTCACCCGGAACATGCATGAATATGACCATATTCCACAGTTCTGTTTTGCAACATCTCCTGGCAGTCGTCTTATAGTACATTCGTACAATCAGATGACCAAAGATTTAATGAACAGGTAAATGGTCATATGTATATGTTTAATTTTAATATATTTTGCATGTTTTTTCCTAGAAACTGTCTAATTTAACTTTCAAAACATTCTAGGTTCTTTCCTAATAGATTGCATGTGGATATTATTGACTACAAGTCAAAAGAGCGGCTTGGATACCTTCGGCGAAAAATTCCGCCCAGAATCTCATTATTGGAATTGACCAACAAGCTGCCTTTAGGAGAAGAAGAAACAGAGGTAACTATCATTATCTTCTATGTTTTGTTATACATTTGTGATTGAAGTATGTTTCTCAAATGAAGATAGGTTTCAAATTGACTTTTAACAGTAGCAGTGTTTTCAAAAACACCTATTCTAATTTTTATATTTCCCCTATATCAAACTATATGACAGATACTCTATCGGTGCAAACTGAAAATAATCAAATTCGACCTTTGTTCTGTGACCCGTAAAGTTTTCCCTGGAGACACTGAGTATTTCCAAATACCTTTGCTTTTTGATTCCCTATTATAAAAATACTACACATTGACCAAATGTATCTAATCTATATATATTTTCAGATTATTCTATGAACTGCAGGCTGAATGTGAATCAGGAAATCACAAGGCAAAGGTCATTATTAATCATGGACCTGCTCTTGCTCTGCTTCGTAAGCCACCAATCGAGTTTAAGAAAATGCCATATGACAAGTCAGATGCTGAAAGAATGTTGTAACATCAAATTTATGGCAGAATTATACATCATTGGGGAAGAATATGAAGTTGAACCACAGATTCACATGTTTGCAATTTGGCATTCAAAAGCATTTCAACCATTACTGGATCTTAAGCTGAATTTATAAACACTGTCCTCATTTTGCAATCCAAGAAGGTATATGTCTTCTCTTTTTTATTTCAAATACAAGAGTATATTGCTATTTATTAACACAACTGAGGCTTTACATTTAATAATTAGTTTCTACTTTTGTTATTATTTCAGGTGGTTCGTATTGAAGGATGAATCAGCTGGTTGTCTGAGAAGGAATCAAGGCAATGAT